CGGCCCAGCGGCTTCGCACGAATCGCAATCGCGAGCCGCACAGCGTGCTGGCCCCACGCCGACAGTCGCGCTCATCAAACGCGCCTTCCGCCCCCAATCGACCGCAGCTGCTGTCGGGCCTCGACCACCCAAACATCATCCGGTACAAGGAGAGCTTTATTGACCCCGCAGACGGGGCGCTGTGCATTGTGACGACCTACTGCTCTGGGGGGGACCTCTTCGCCGCCATCCGGCGCCGCGCCGCCGGCGGCAGGGGCCGCGCGAGCGCCCGCGGGGACGGCGGCGGTGGCGACGGCGGCGGCGGCGACGCGGCCGACGGCGGCGGCGAGGGGGACGACGGCGGCGGCGACGAGGGCAATGGCGAGGCGGGCGCTGCCGATGGCGGCGGCGGCGGCGGCGGCAGCGGCAGCGGCGGCAGCGCCACCAGCAGCGCGGACGACGACGGCTGCGGCGGGCCTGATTACTTTTCAGAGGACGAGGTCATGGACCTTTTCCTGCAGGTGGGCAAACGGTTCAAGCGACTGCTTTTTGATAACCGCAGCTGCCTCGCGCCCCGCAAACAAGCCAAGCAGCTCGGCGGCGGCCCCGACCTGCCCCCAACGCACGCACACATAAGTGACATGACCGCACACGCACCCCCAAACGCGCGACGCCACCTCCCAACGACCGTACGCCCACGTAACCGCACGCAATCCCCCGCAGATTGCCGGCGCGCTGCACTACATCCACGGCCGCTCCATCCTCCACCGCGACCTCAAGACCCAAAACATCCTGCTGGACGGCAACGGCGTGCCGATGCTCGCAGACTTTGGCATCTCAAAGGTGCTGCAGCAGGCGGAGGGCTACGCCGCGAGCACTGTGGTCGGCACGCCCTACTACCTTTCGCCCGAGGTGCGCCTGCGCCCTTGAGGCTCCAGCCCACAGCTGTCGCCGTCGGCCCTCAAACCTCAACCCTCAGCCCCTTGCCTCTCGGCCCTTGAAACCCCTGAACCCCAAACCCCCGAATCCGGGTCTGCCCTAACATTAACCCTCAACCCTTGCAAACCCTGATTCCAACCAAAGGTGTGCCTTAACAAGCCGTACACCTTCAAGAGCGATGTCTGGGCGCTGGGCTGCGTGCTTTACGAAATGGCAACGCTCAGGTGGGGGGAATATGCAATGGGCCAGCAAAGGGCAAGCGATGGGCATTGGCATAGGCCCGAGAGCTGCAGAGTCGGCCCCGGCTGCACCCCAGCCAGCAGCCTTCAGCCCGCTGCCGCCGGTTGGACGCACTGCCCTGTGACGCGGATGCGCACCGCAGCTTTCAACTACAAATCCCCAATCCATACCCTTGAAACTCCAAACCCCTCGCCCCATTGCCAGGCACGCCTTTGCCGCCGAGTCCCTGCTGTCCCTGGTCTACCAGATCATCAAGGGCGACGTGCCCCCCCTCCCCTCGGGCCGCTTCAGCCCCGAGCTGGACGGCCTCATCCGCCGCCTCCTCGCGCACGACCCCGCGGCGCGGCCCTCGCTCCAGGAGGTGCTGATGCTGCCGTACGTGCAGCACCACGTTCAGCGCTTCAGCGCGCGGGAGCGGCGGCGCGTGTTGGACAAGCACCTCAGCATGCAGTCGATCCTGCGGCGCAGCGGCAGCCTGAGCGGCAGCCTGAGCGGGGCGCTGCGGGACTCGGCGCCGCGGGCCGGCGGCGAGGCGGGGGCCGAGGCGGCCGAGGCGGCCGAGGCGCGGCAGCCGGAGCATCAGCGGCGGGAGCAGGAGCGGCAGCGGGAGAGCGAGGGCGGGGCGCATCAGCGCGAACAGCTGGAGGCGCAGAGCGAGCCGCGGCGGCAGCAGCAAAAGCTTTGGGAGCGGCAGACGGCTCAGCTGCTGCAAGAGCAGCGGCAACAGCAGCAGCAACATCAGCAGCAGCAGCATCAGCAGCAGCAGGAACAGCAGCAGCAGCAGCAGCGGGAGAGGTGCGGCGCTGGCACCTGCGCAACAGGCGCGGCAGGCAACCCGCCGCGACCAAACAGCGCCGCCGGCCAGGCCCCGGCGGGCCGCGCGGAGTCCGCCTTTTTCAGCCCCCTGACGCGCCACTTGCACGCGGCAAAGCAGCCCGTCGGCGCCTTGGGCTGGGGCGGCGGTCTCGTGGCGTCGCGGCGCAGCGAGCCCGGAGAGGTTTCCGAGAGCGCCGCCAGCGGCAGCAGCGCCGGCAGCGCCGGCGCCGGCAACCCCGACGCGGCGGCGCGGCGGGCGGGGCAGCCGGCGCGCGACACCGGCGGCGCCGGCGGGGACGGCGGGGACGGCGGCGGGCTGCACCGGCTGGCGGTGTCGTCGGCGCTGCCGGGCTCCAGCGGAGACCGCTCCCTCGACGCCGTCGACTGGCAGGGCGCCTGCCGGCGGCTGTGGCAGCTTGCGACGAACGGCCTGGGGGGCTCCCAGCCGGACCGGGAGCGCGAGCGCCGCGGCGACGAGGGGTCCGAGGCGGGGGCCGGGGCGCCGGACTGGGGCGCGCCAGCGGGGCGCGCGCCGGCGGGGCGGCTGGCGGCGGGCGCGAGGGGGCGGCCGCAGGCGCCGGCGGCCGGCGGCAAAGCGCAGGCGGCGGTGCGGGCGGATGGAGTCACATTTGCTGACAAGCAGCAGCCGGCGCAGCAGCAGCTGCCGCAGCCACAGCAGCAGCTGCCACAGCAGCAGCTGCCACATCAGCAGCCGGCGCAGCAGCAGCAGCAGCAGTCGCCGCAGCCAGCCCAGACAGAGTGGCTCGCGGCGCACCGCCCCAACCTCTCCCCCATCAAGCCGCCCGCCACGCCGCCCGGCGCCCCCCAGACGCCGACGCCGTCGGGGGCCGGCACCGGCACCGGCGGCGGCAGCACGGCGGCCGCTTCGAGCACCCCCTCCTCCCCCTTCCGCTTCGGCCTCAGCGATGAGGAGCGGAGCATGGGGCTGCAGCTGCCCTGGAGCTCCGACGGCGGCGGCTGCAAGAGCTCGCACGCGGGCGCGCCGTCGGCGTTTGGCTCCGAGCCGGGCGGCGCCGCCGGCAGCAGCGCTGGCGGCGGCGGCTACGGGGGCGCGGGCGCGGGGGCTGCCGGCCTGCCGTTTGCGCTGCCCTGCGAGGACCGCCTGCGGTTTGGGCTGCCGACAGATGAGACCGACGAGTGCGTTTTTGAGATCCCGCTGCAAAGCGACGCTGGCAGCATCGGCGGCGGGGCGGCGGACAGCCCAGAGCCCCCCGGCGGCCCGGACTCCGGCCCCCAGCGCCTCGACAAGAGCCTCGGCGGGCAGCTGCCGCCCCTCGGCGGCCGCCGCAGCGCGAGCGCGTTCCTGAGGATGGTGCGGCGGAGCTATTCCTCCGGCGGCCTCGGCCGCAGCAACCTCGGGCGCGCGGTCTCGCTCGCCTCGGCGGCCTCCCTCACCTCGGCCGTGTCCCTGCGCCTCGGCTGCGGCGCCGACGGCCTGGGCGGCGACTGCCTGGGCGGCGCGGGCAGCGGCGGCCTCGCCGAGGGCCTCAGCGGCGGCCTCAGCGGCGCCGCCAGCGGCGCCGAGGGCAGCGACGGCGACGGCAGCTGCGGCTGGCTCAGCGCAGACTTCAAGGTGCTTTGCGTTGACGACCCCTCGGACGGTGCCGGCCCCGACGGGAAGCTGCGGGGCGCCGCCAGCTGCGGCGCGCCGGCGGAGCCCGCCGGCGGCGGCGCGGCGGGCGCGGGGGCGCTGCGGAGGGAGCGGGCGGAGCTGCGCCAGCGGCTGAGGATCATCAAAAGCGTGTCCGACCTTTCGAGGTGGGTGCTGGAGGGGCTGGAGGGGCCGCATGCTGTTGCAAGGTTTGGCGAGGGAAGATCTGCAGGAGGGGGCGCGCCCCCAGCCGGCCGCATGCAGGACAACCACCGCGGCTGCATGCAGGGGGGCTCAAGCGGTGCCGCCCTTGCCAATCTCCAGCCAAGAGACCAAAAACCAAACCATGTGAACCCTCGAACACCCCTATACATGACAGGTCTTCCCTTTCCAGCGGCAGCGGCGCCGCCGCAGCGGCCGCAGTGGCTGGCAGCCCGCCGCTCCTTGTGGGTTCGGCCTCGAGTTGAGGCGGCGCGCGGCGGTGAGCGCGCTCGCGAGGCAGCGAGGCAGGTGGTGGAACGTGCCCTCTGCACATGCAGGGCATGCCACCGTGATGAGTGATACAGAATAGGTTGAAACGCAACTTACGTTCCATGCGGCCTAGGAAAATAAAGCAGGCATGGACTCCTTTGCGCACGTGCACACTGCAAGAATTGCCGCCGCACCAGCACCGTCTGTAAAACCACTGCTTTGAAAGGCTAAAAAGGCCCCGGTGTCGTGTCTATCTGCTGCATGATCCTTCTTCTGGGCGCAGAGTTGGGCCGCTCGGCAGCGGGGGCGCGCCGTGCGGGACGGGCGTCTCCCCCCTGCCCTTGGCCGGCCGGCGTGGGCTTGCCGGGGGCTGGGAGGTGGTGGGCAAGGCTTGTGGAGGCTGACCGGCCCCCCTCCAAAAAATCGGCCAAACCCCAAACACTGATATCGTGTCGGTTACGTATTTTGACAGTGCGCTTTTGTCCGTGTAGCTAAGCTGGTTATAGCGCTGCGCTTATACGCGAGGGCCGCCGGCGGGGGGGCGTGCCAAGCGGGGGGCCCCGCCCCTCCCGCTGGCCGGCCGGCGTGGGCTTGCCGGGGGCTGGGAGGTGGTGGGCAAGGCTTGTGGAGGCTGACCGGCCCCCCTCCAAAAAATCGGCCAAACCCCAAACACTGATATCGTGTCGGTTACGTATTTTGACAGTGCGCTTTTGTCCGTGTAGCTAAGCTGGTTATAGCGCTGCGCTTATACGCGAGGGCCGCCGGCGGGGGGGCGTGCCAAGCGGGGGGCCCCGCCCCTCCCGCTGGCCGGCCGGCGTGGGCTTGCCGGGGGCTGGGAGGTGGTGGGCAAGGCTTGTGGAGGCTGACCGGCCCCCCTCCAAAAAATCGGCCAAACCCCAAACACTGATATCGTGTCGGTTACGTATTTTGACAGTGCGCTTTTGTCCGTGTAGCTAAGCTGGTTATAGCGCTGCGCTTATGACGCAGAGGTCCGGGGATCGAACCCCCGTACGGACACTCTCTCTTTTTTCTTTTCCCCGCCCACCCTTCCAAAACCGCGACCAAAACCGCAAGCCTGACCACCTCCAGCCCCGGCAAGCCCACGCCAGCCGGCCAGGGGGCGGGCGGGGCCTTCGGCCCCGCCGCCGGCCTGCGGCCGGCACGCACGGCCCACGCACGGCCCACGCACGGCCCGCTGCGGCGGGCGGGGCCTTCGGCCCCGCCGCCGGCCTGCGGCCGGCGGGCCAAGACTTGAGAGCCTTGCTTGCCACTTGCCCACTTGGAAAGGGCCCAGTTCAATGCAAAACCTTGAGGAGTTACATTCCCTGCGGCCTAAGCCGCTCATGGAGCTCGACCAGAGCTCATAGGGGTTGCTTGTGGAGCTCAAAGCATGCATGCACGAAGGCTGCCATGCGGGTCTGGGGCTGTTGAGACACAAATTCGCGGAGCCGCTCGGCGGGCAGCGGCGGGGGGTGTGTGGGCTGAAAGAAGCGCGCGTGGGGGGGGCAGTTCTGATCTGGGCATAGGCTGGGCAGTCAAGCAAGACGTGCTCGGCGGTTTCGGGGGGGCCTGACTGGCACCGACGGCAGGCGGGGGCGGCGCTCCACTTGAGGGAGGGGCACGCCGCAAAGGGGTCAGAGCAGCAACGCACGCGCATCAGCGCCCGCACATGATCAAACTTAAAGGCCGAGGTGTGGCGAAAGTAAAACGGCATTTTCTTTGGGAAGCCTGGCTCTTTGTCGCAGTCGGGCGCCGCGAGGTGGACTTTAAAGTGTTGGGCATAGGCGGCTGCTGTGGCCCCGCTGCTGCGGCCGGGGGCTTGTGTGCGGTGGGCGAGGGCGGCGTCCCACGCCCCCCAGACCTGTGGCAGATCCAGGGGGACATTGAGGGAGAGGAGGGCGCCGGTGCCGTGCGTTGTGGCGTGCCGCATTTGGGTGCGGAGGCCGGCCAGGTAGCTGGGGAGCTCGGCCCCCGGCTC